ATCAGAATTCTTCTCACATTGGCTGTCTCTCATCGCCGGTCTATCCAACAACTTGATATCAACAATGCTTTCCTAAATGGGGACCTTGAGGAGGAGGTCTACATGTCTCAACCCCCTGGTTTTCAAGCTAAGGACACCTCCCTTGTTTGCAGACTCCATAAATCCTTGTATGGTCTAAAACAAGCTCCAAGAGCTTGGTTTCACAAGCTCACTTCAGTTCTGTATAATGCTGGTTTCAAACAAAGCAAAAGTGATCCTTCTCTTCTTATCTACCTCAAGACTGGAATCCAAATCTACATCCTAATCTATGTTGATGATATTCTGGTCATTGGGAATAACTCCACTATCATACAACAAATCATTCAAGCCTTACATTCTTCTCTCTCTCAAACATCTGGGGGACATAGATTTCTTTCTGGGCATCCAAGTCAGAAAATTACCTAATGGTTGTTTGCATCTTTCCCAAACCAAGTACATTAGAGATCTTCTTCACAAAGTTGGAATGGCTGATTCCAAGGGTGTAAAAACACCCATGGTGAGTACCTGTAAGCTTACCAGTGAAGGGAATGATTCTCTACCTGATCCTTCTCATTACAGATCTGTTGTTGGAACCCTACAATGTGCTACCTTAACCAGACCTGAACTCAGCTATGCTGTAAATAAAGTGTGTCAGTTTATGGCCAATCCCTTACAAGAACATTGGAAAGCTGTGAAGCATATCCTGAGATATCTTTCTGGAACCATCACTCATGGATTACTGATCAAACCTCTTCCTTTGACAAAAACACCTCTACCTATTACAGCCTTTTGTGATGCTGATTGGGCATCAGATCCTACAGACAGGAAGTCTACATCTGGGTCATGCATTTTTCTAGGCCCTAATATTATTTCTTGGTGGTCCAGAAAGCAACTAAGGGTAGCCAGATCTTCAGCAGAAGCGGAATATAGAAGCCTAGCAGATACTACATCAGAAATTTTATGGGTCCAATTCCTACTCAAAGAACTTCAAGCTCCTTTCACTCTTCCCAGAATCTACTGTGACAACCTTAGTACAGTGCAACTAGCTCACAATCCTGTTCTGCATACTCGTATAAAACACATGGAAATTGATCTTTTCTTTGTACGAGAGAAAGTCCAACTAAAACAGCTTGAAGTGTTTCACATTCCAGCCTCCCAGCAAATTGCAGATGTGTTGACCAAGCCTCTATCTGCTTCCACCTTTCTTGAGTTCAGAAACAAACTCAGTGTGATTGATTTTCCAACTCAATCACCCTCAGTTTGAGGGGGGAATGTTAGGAATAGTGTAGGAAAACTACACGTGTATTTCTTTGTAAAGCAATGTAACTACTTTCTGTTAAGCTTCGGTTATGTTAGCTATGATTACTTCCTGTATAAATACTCTGTAATATCTGATTCTTAGTAAGATGATTTCATTTCTGCTTCTACCTTGCTTCATTTCTATTACTCCTCAATCTAACTAATTACTTGGCCCATCCCACTTCCTTTTTACAACTTATTAAAATATACATTAATATTTCTATTGCTTCTCTCGCCATAAGTTCAGGTTCGTATCATCACTCCCCCTTTGGACAACCACCTTGTCCTCAGGGTGGGGAGTAAGAAAATAGCCATGCAATTCAGCTTCATTCTCGCGCCCCTTCTTTGCCAGTACCTTGATGACTGCTGAACTAGGATCTTCAGTACTTGATCCTTCAATTTTCCAGATTTTTCTGCAGCAGAAATAATGTCTAGTGAAGTTTCCTTCTTTTCAGTAGCCTTCGAGCACTCAATAATGACAAATACTCCTCTGAGGTTCTTTCTTCTGGAACTTTCGATGTGTTGGACGCAGATTTTTTGTTGGTCAACAAAAAGCCCTATGCAACCTTCTCCAAAAACCTGACAGCCCACATCAGCATCCATTGCACTTGATTACTTAAAGGATCATCAAATTTATAGACCTCAGAATTAGAATAAACAACTCTTGCCATGTATACTCTTTGCTTCTGGCCTCCACTAAAATGGATTCCTATTTCACCAATTTCAGTAAGATCACCACCAGTGAGCAATTGCAGATCATGTTGCAAAGCAGTTACATTTATTGCCTTCTCATATCTGGAAGGTTCAAACTGAGAGCCAAATTTTATGTGTTCACACACTGTTGCTTTAAAGATCCTAGACAATGGTGGCACACAGGCAACTGTTCCTCTAATCAGGACGCTAGCATCTGAAACTGCCAGTACCTCACCAAGCATTACTACAACTACAACAGTTGGGAGCAAGGAACAAGCATCTTCTTAGTTGGGCTGGGATGAAACCTCAATAGAGAGTAGGTAGGATACTTGTTCAGTCTCTTTTCAGAGACTGACCTATCAGCAGCAAGCATCAACACTTCTACCATTTGATACACTCCAATATCGACGGGATAAGGCAGGGAAGTGTCAATCTGTAATTGAACATCAGTGTCCATTTGAAATTGAACTTCACCAGGCACATCATCAACACTTTTAGAAACAATTTGAATGCTCATTTCTTTCTCTTCAATTTCTGATGGCGGTTGCCTCTTATTATCGAACTCCAAACGGAACGGTGCAGCTTGCGACGTGTGAGAATCCACTTGTGATAAAGTCTGAGAACAGAAAGATACTGTTCGCTGCAAAGTAGACGAATGGGAAGAAACTGCTGGCGACTTAGACGGAACCTGCGATGAAATCTGCGATCGGACAAAATTGGCCCGGGATGATGAAGAGCCATGGCCTTCAAATTGTCGATGACTTGTTCTCGATCGTCCTCTAGTTTCCCGTTGAAATTTATGAAAGCGTAAGTTGCGTGTCTCTTCTATCGATGTGCGCAAGTCGCACCTCCGGTATGTCACACTATCTTATCTGATCGCTTCTCTATCCTGGATCGGTTGAAGGTCTTCGACAGTTAGATCAATCGTCACTGCTCTGATAACAATGATACGTACACAGAGAATTGGAGTAGAAATATTATTGGTATCCTAGAAAACAAGAAGAAATGAAGAATACAACGGAGGCCAATTCAAGAGCCCCCCCATCTCTCCGAGATCCCAATTCTTCCCAAATCCCAGCCTACCCCTCTCCCTTTTCTATTCCTTCTATTTATTCTTTTCCCATGAGGCTTCTCCTCAATCTAACTAATTACTTGGCCCAACCCACTTCCTTTTTACACCTTATTAAAATATTCATCAATATTTCTACTACTTTTCTCGCCATAAGTTCAGGTCCGTATCAAGTTGTCTGAGCAAGCTTCTTCGTACGTTTCTTCTCTTGCGTTTCTTCTCTGTTTTTTTGATGGTTCAACAAAAAAGGAAAAGCAAAGAAGTTGGGACCCGATGACCCATGGTGGGAATGGGAAAACCAAAGGAGAGATCTTGTTTGGAGGCAGGTAAGAGTTCTGAACATTAAGTTATGCCATATCGAGTCCTATGTATCATTTAGGGAATCTATATTTATAACTTGTATGTAGCACATGCAGCTTATACCTTATGAACCTTGGCCGCAATGCAGGTGTTTTGAATTCATAGGAAAAACCGCATTGTAACCGCAAAACATTAGGAGCACTACCCTTATTTCATCTACTCTTTATATTTTTAAATGTTGTTTTGTCTATATTTTTTTTCTTTTTGTATCTTATCATCATTATCATCTCAATTTTATCTTTATCTTATCTTTTTTATCTTATACAACAACAATATTACCTAGAGCCGCAAAGGCTCCCACCTAGGTGGGGTAAGGGGGGGTCGAATGTATGTCGCCTTACCCCCTATACTAAAGCACAGAAAGATTGTTTCCGGATGACTCATGATGAAAATCGCGGCAAAAATTGCATGGATTGACTGCTGCTTCATAGTAAAGAAGTTTAGACAATTTATTGAGCCATTTTGCTTTATTCCATCATATTCCCAAGTCAAAAAATAGGGAGTCTTTGACTCCATTGGAAATGACGGAAAGATCTTTTTATCTTATCTTATTTTTTTATCTTTTTTTTTAACTTATCTTATCTTTTTTATCCTTTTTAGCTCCGATTTCATATATCAATTCATGTTAGCCGACCTGATCGAGAGAGTTTTCTGTTTTTATCACGACCACAAACTCTTTTGGGACTAATGCTTGGATGTTGTTGTTTTTGTTTTTGTTTTGTGCATCTTTTTTTAACACGTATGCTAGCAAAATAGGATTTGTACTCTTCATTCTTATGTGTGGTAGCGGCTGCAATTGTGGTGGCAACCACAATTTAAGACCACAGCAGAGATGAGGCTAGACCGTAAGAGAGTAGATGAGGAACAAATGATCGCAGGGAGGAGAGTTTTTTTTGGATTAAATAAAATACATACAAGCTTAAGTGAATAAACTAGCTGGCCAAATCCGATATTAGCTTCGAATTTCTTGCATGTTCAGTGATTAGTCTTGCTCATATTTGGGCAATTCTATGTCTGATCAGGGAGTGAGAGTACCTATTGGTTTTTATGAGTTTAGGAGTGTGGGGGTAGGGGGCGAGTATGATGTTTGGTTGTCTGGTTCTATTACTTCAATATAAGCTTTCTCCTTTCATAAAAACTAGCTGACCAGATGGGTCTGCTTTTAGGGATTATTTAAGAAACCCTAAGAAATGGGTCGAAAGATGGCTAAGCAGCTAGGTAAAGCTGGGTCAGTTATTCCAACAATCCAAAAGACCCCACATGTTGTCGTAACGCCACACCATGATCTGCCATAGTGGCCACCTTGCATAGCTACGATGATTCTGCATTGCACTTGTATCATCGTGATTTGCTCAGATCCACGACCACTATATGCCATGGTTCCCAAGAATCTCAAATTCCGTGGATTCATGTTCTCCCAAATTTTATGAGGATGTGAAATTGGGAATGTGATAACGTGAACTAAATATGTCCGTAGTTTCATAAGCACATCTTCATTCCTATCCTTTTTGTGTCCGCCTTTTTATCATAGATTAAGCTTGTTCAAATCTGAAACTTGTAGATAAGGGAATTGCATTCCGAAATAAAAAAGCTGGAAGACCGGAAAAAAGGACTGGAGGTTAGTTTTGATAATTTTGTAATTGATGATTAGAAGTGTGTTTGATATTTCTGTTAGTGCTCTATCTTATGTTTTATTTTTGAAAAATTTATGTTGGATTAACATGCACAAAATGAGTCGGTATCCTAAAGAGTTGTAAATCTACAGTTACATTTACAAGAACGTCACATCACAATATTCATAGTGAACTATCATGTATAGAACTTTCTCATAATGAGCCTGTAACCTAGTATGCTACCCTCCAACCCTGAAAACAACAACAGTACAACACATATTTTTCTTACTTCCAGAAACAATACCGCATGAGGTCTTTTCGGAAGCCATTGAGAGACAATACATTAATAGGAAGGCTAGTAGAAGAGATGAGATGGAATGTTGAGGGCTTGGAATATCCTCAAGCCCAATTAATTAATAATCAAAATTTAGGGTCTTGGGATGTACGAGCATCCAAGAGATGGTACATAGATTGTGATCCCATGTTAAACAGGGTTGGACATTTATAGGGTGGTTTGTGAGGCGTCCTTTAGCTTTATCATTCTTGCATACTAAATGTTGTGTATTCGCATGCTATTAATTCAATGTTTGTTTCCAACGATATCCTATTGTTTCTAGCAAATCTGCATGTGCTTCGTGCATATCAGGCTATGAAGAGATGAGGCCTTAGAGTATATACTCAACACAAAATACCATAGAGAAACATGAACATTTTTATTCCTCTTGGTGCTGTGTGTATATTCAAATGAGCAAAGTAATGTGTCTATAGTCTCAGGAGCAAATTTATCTGATGTTAAAACTTGTCTAGGCAATATCATGCTACTGTCCAAACTATTTAAAATAGTTTGCAGTAATACTTTGGTTGCTGTTAGGTCTACCTGGAAGATAGATCCCGAGAGGCAGAAAATCTGACCTTTAGACTTAAAGATCTTGAAATAGAGTTGATAAAAGAAAATGAGGAGTGTAAAAGGTAATCACTTTAAATCTTCAACATAATTTTATTTTTGTAATTCTACATTTAGCGTGTTCTTGCAGCTGATCTGTGTCTTTAACAAATTATGGTTGTGGTTTGTTCCAATTCAAGGATTACCAGCAAAATTAAGAAGTTCACTGAAGCACATAAGCGTCTTTCTCATTTACACGATGAAGTCAAGAGGTATCCTTTTGATGCAAAACACCTTCCTTCTTCCTCAAATGATTTTTTATCTCTGGTTTTTATCATTTCTTTTGTACTATTTATTGATTTTGTTGCGAGAATATGGCTTTACAGAAAGCAAAGTGGAGGGCGAATATTTGTGTGGAGGATTGATATCTTCTTTATCTTTTTCTTTTATCTTTTTATGTTCTTTATCTTTCTTATGTTCTTAACTTCTTATGTTATTTTTGTCATTTATCTTTCTTATATTCTTTTATCTTATATTTATCTATATCTTATCATTTTTATCTTACCTTATCTTTTTATTTTTCTTATCTTTCTTTTCTATTTGGCACTGATCTAATGGACGATTCATGTTAGCTGAGGGCTGACCCCAAAATCTTTTGGGAACAAGGGTTTGATGTTGTTGTTGTATCGATTTTGTTGCGCCTAATCATTTTCTTTCTTAAAATTCTGTACTAAAGACTTGGCGTGGCTCTATAAACTTGTAGGTCAGATGCTCAACTTCAAAAGCTTGGTGAAAAACTGATCTTAAATGCTAGTGGTGCAAGCGGAGATGATTTAAGCTTAAATGCAGTAACAGATGGAGAAGCTAAAAGTATTTGTCCCACTATCTGTGGCATGATGAAAAATAACATCTCCCCACGTAAGAAAAGGTCACAAGTGAACGTGGCAGATGTGGAGTCACCAAGTCAAGGTAGGCGTGAGAGTACATGATTATTAAATATTGTTACTGACACTTATCCATGCATTGAAGTTTCTTTTTGTTTGTTTCATGTTTAAAATCCTCTTAAAGACAATTCGAGATGCCCAGTCTCCCAGTCTATTCCCAACTGAATACTTGCCTACCTCTTTTGCCTCCCCTCCTCTTCTATTTATACTACAAGTACACCTATTATTATCTACATGTACACTTTTTATAATAATAATAATAATAATAATTATTATTATTATTATTTCTATTATTAGCCTAATAGGCCCAATTCCTATCATACCTTGCCTATCTAGATCCTGTGAAAGATAGGAAATTCCATTGGATTGGTGGGAACCTTGTGCTATACCATGACATTGCTAGTGGATGTCCTGATTTTATCCTGTGTTTGGATTGTAGCTAGTGGGATAAGATGTAGTCGGAGTGTCAGACAATCCATGTAATAGTTTAGTTTTCCTTTTTGACCTTTTATAAGGCATAACTGACCAAATTACTCAAACCCAGTTACCCAGGAAACTTGTCCCTAAAATTTAATAGATTCCAATTTAACTTTCTTTTAATGTGCCTCATAAATGAATACTTTGATATGGGCGTGCTTTATTATTATTATTATTATTCCTAATTACTATGTTTATATTTATTACTGTACTATTGATTTAGTTCCCTTTATAAGTATTAGTATTACTATCCTATTGTTATTAGTAATAGTTCCCTATTAGTATAGGAAATCTATTTTAGTTAATATTCCTAGCTGCAGTATTGTAATAGGATAGGGTTACTCTACTAGTCTACCAAGATTCCTGGAATTAGTATAAACAGAGGTGCTCTATTCATTAATGATATTATCATTATTTTTGGAGTTAGTTCTCTGAGTCTAGACAAGGTTGGACACTACCTTCTTTTGCCTAGGGTAGAGAAGTTCTTCAGCTTTATTGAGTTTGCACCGCGCTTTTTGGGTGATATTGGACTTTGCACCCAATTTTCAAAATTTTTAGAATCTGCACCCTATTTCCCCTAAAATGTCTTTGTCTTTGCACCCCATCTAGGAATTTTTCTTCACAAAATGTTGTAGATAGGGTGCAAAGTCTAAAAGTTTTGAAAATGGGGTGCAAAGTCCAATATCACCCAAAAAGTGGGGTGCAAACTCAAAATTCCCCTTTAATTAATTGTTTTTTTCTCGGAATTTTATCAATCGAGGACCTAAAAGATATATTCACTATCAATGTCGGACCTACAAGATAAAGTGTATTGATATAGGGACCAAATGATTGAAAACATCAATCTAAGACTTAATATTTGTATTTTAAAAAATATCAATATTATTTAATCTTGTTAAACTAATAAACTTTTGTGAAAAAAAATCATAAAAAATTAACAATGGAATTAATAAAAATTAAAAAAAAATAAAATCAATGATATTTTAGGTCCTAGATTGATAGTTTTCAATCATTCGGGTCCTATCTCGACACAATTTATTTTTGAGGTCTCTTAATGATTGCGAATGTATCATTCAGAACCTAGATTGATAAAATTCCTACCACTTTTGCTTCTGGAAATCATACAAAAACAATATTACTGTCTTTTAGCAACCAAAATCAGGAAACCAGATTTTCTCATCTTTACTGCACATCTCACAACGATTTGCCTTTGAAAGGGACCTTATCATGATAAGCAAACAAGATATCAGCCGAAAACAATATGTAAGCAGTGTTCATTACTCTTAGCTGCACCTGCATGGGTATCTGTACTAACTGGCTCACTGCTCAGTGCTATGGTTTCGAGTTATTTCAGTTTTTGTGTGTGTGATTTTTGTGGGGTGTGAGGCTACCAGAGACGCATACTATTAGTGGGTTGTGAGCCCTTAGTTGACAGCAAAAAAAGTCCAGAAAAAATCCAAGAAAAAAGGCCCAGAAAATAAAAAAGTTAAAAAACATGGACTATCGAACTCTACATGTCGAACTGATCTCTAAGTTAGGTTGTTTCGTTGGTGAGTACTCCGTATGGTTTATTGTGTTCATTCGGTGAAAGATCTGTTCAGTGTATTGAGATTACGAAATCCGACCGGAATGAGCTTCAAGCTTTAGTATATGTTAATTCCTCTCTTGACACAGTTATTCCACTGTTTGAACTAGGAGTGGGCACGGTTGGTTAACCGCATTTTTGGTTAACCAACTTATGGTTAACCGGGATATCGGTTAGCATGTTTATAATATCAATAACCGTACCGTAACGACGGTTAACCGGGTAACTTTTACCGTAATATAGGTTAACCGTTAATTGGTTAACCAAAAAACCATTTTACAAAAACTTTTACCGTAATATCATTCGCGAGGTATTTCTCATAGTCCGAAGGATTCCTTTATTCCTAATTTCCTTCCGCCTCTCTTCTACATCTCTACCTCCTATCTCCTATGATATGCCTACTGAGTGCTGATTGCAACACCCACATATTTGAAGAAAGTCTTAGGATGGACCATTGATAGACATTTGTCTTCCATGGCTTGGACTTCCGGCCCTTATTTTCCGACGGCCATGGCCTCGGCCAAGATCGTCGCCAAGCCACCCTTGCCTGTTAGGATGGAGTTTGTTGCTCCCAAAATGAACTGATCGTTAAAGTCAATAATACCTAATCCGAAACATGTGGAATATGTAGTTTGCAGTTTCATGATCTCGTTTGCCTTGGCTAGTATTTGATCGCAGCTTTCCACTCTCAATGGTTTGGGAGTAATTGGCTAAAATTGACAGATGAGTTAATTGACAGATGAGTTAATTTAGTATTGACAGATGAGTTAATTGACAGATGAGTTTTTTTGGAAATTAATTGACAGATGAGTTAATTTTAGTATTTGGCTAAAATTGACACATGAATTAATTTGCAAACCGTAAGTATAAGTTTGGGAGTAATACTTAACTTTGAATTATCGGTTAACCGGTGGTATTTAATTTCAAAACCGTAACCGTATCATAACCATTTTTTCTATCGGTTGGTTAACCGTACCGCATGATTAAGCACCGGTTTTTCGATTATTTACCACGGTTAAGTGGCTACAGTTTTTCTTGCCCACCCTAGTTGAAACTTGAGGAAAAATATTTATGGAGATCGTTGCACACTGAAAATATGGTATCAGTACCCACCACTGTATTTATCGCTCTACTACAGCTATGAGCTAACAATTTCACTCTGAGCTCTTGTTCATGGAAAAACCGCTGCCTTCACATCTTTGGTTATTTCAAAAACATCCTCCGTCACTTCAAACAGTTCCCTTCCGCTTTGACATTAGAAAAGCAGCCACCACCAACTGCCTTGCCGAGATCAACTTTTCACCTATCGTAAAAAAGACTGTGTGCCCTCCCTGCCTTCTGTCAGCATCATCAATGCACCACTTTAAATTCTGAATAACTCAAGCCAAACAGCTTCGCAACCCCTAACAAGCCATGAGTGAACTCTTTTGAAAGAGGCAGTAGTTAGGGTAATTGTTCCAATTGCAGAAGAGAAAGTAAAGATGAACCCCACTGTTGCACCTATATATGAAGTTGTGGACCACTTGAATAAACCACAAGAAGCGGTGTCTATTTCACTAGCAACAGTGCAACGGAGAGTATCGTTGGACCTGATGCATGTGTGCATTATGTCATCTATGGATTTCATCTATTTATCGTTTGGGAAAAGCACCCCACATGCAGTGAGAAGATTTGATTTCCCTGCTGGGAGTAATGCCTAGACTCTGCTCACACTTGCTGGTTTGGCTGCACAAGCACCGGAGAATTTCGTAAGGGGGCAATGCCTCAATGTGATATTGATGTTTTCTACGCATACCACTTTTCCCTTCAAGCATGAGAGCAAGCTTGATGCCCGAGAGGGGAGTAATAATATGGACGAGCTTTATTATTATTGTTATTATTATTAATAATATTATTATAATTATTATTAATAATAATACTATTATAATTATTATTATTAGTTTCCTCTATAAGTATTAGTATTACCTTCCTATTGTTATTAGCAATAATAATTCCCTATTAGTGTAGGAGTCTATTTCAGTTAATATTCGTAGTAGCAGTATCGTAATAGCCTAGGTCAGGGTATTAGTATAAATAGAGGTGCCATAATACTAGTCTACCAAGACTCTTAGAACTAGTATAAATAGATGTGCTCCATTCATTAATTATACGACCTATATTTTTGGAGTTGATCCTCAAGTTATGATAAGGTCGGTGACTCGGTCGCCACCTTCTTTTTCCTAGGACAAATAAATTCTTCATCTTTATTGATTTCATTGTTCATTTAACCTCCCTAATATGTTTGTAACATACTTTTGTAAAATAAGCATGAACACAATATTTTTGGGGGGCAATCAGTGAAAAAATTAATTAATGTTTCATTGAGAAAACCAGTGTCCCCTTTTAAAATGTTTCTTGTAATAAAGACCAGAGGGAGTGATATCTTTGTTCCTTTGGATGTCACATGGTGTCACTTGATTGTTTGTAAATTGTCTCCATAATGCTCACTATTCTCTGCTTTTCTCATTCTTCTCTTGTTTATGCAAATTTGTTTTGCTGGGTATTCTATACTACAGGTAATGAGAAGATAAGATTGGGAGATAACCCTTCTCGAAGAAATATGCTTCAGATTCAATATAGTAATGAGAAGAAAATGAAGGCAGATATTAAGAGCAAAAGTAGTTCCCAGAATACTGAATATGAAGAACGACCTAAAGGCTGGGGAAATATTTCTCCTAACAGGAGAATAGTAGAAAAGGTGCTTCAAAATTTCCTCTTTTCCCCACCCTGTTCACACATCTGATCTGCAATTATATCCTTGCAAAAAGAGCAGAATGAAAATTGATGTTTTGTTTTCTCTCCAGAAAATAGTTCCATTTGTTTGGTAGTTAGTTCTAGGAGTATATTCATTTTCATTTTTCCTATATGACACACGTTATTCAAATGCTTTGCTACTATTTTCAGTTATTTTGCATGTTGTCGCCTATCAGATTTTACTCTACCCTGCCCTCTATAGCGTGAATAATACCATTTTGTCTTTTATTATGTGACATTAATATTATCTAGCCCTTGAAATTCTGCAGGCCAAGGGGGTTTCTGATGCTGCTTCCCTTCTGATGCTGCCTTCGACAGGAATGGCAGCTCATGCAATGGATGAAGTAGATGTTGAAGTTGTTGAAATGGAAGAAAAGTATGATATGCTTGAAGATTCTTCTACAGTAGTGGCTGAAGAAGCTGTTTATGATGATACAAAGTTGCTTTATCTACCACCCCCACCACCACTTCCAACCTATAAAAGTTCTCTGTCACAGGTTAGCTATGTATGTTGGTATATAGACTTTAGGTGGCAGCCGGAGCAGAATTTTTTCGATATATGTATTACCCCTGCGTCCCTCATTACGAACTTAGTTTAAAATCACGAGTTTTTAGGAAATCTAAAAGAATATGCCCTTCAATAAATTCAGGGAAATAAACTTTAAATATCACTTTCTCCGCCCCGAATTGAATTGTAATTTGTGGATTTTAAGGTTGACCGACAATAAAGTTAATCATCCCTGCGGATAGTTAAATCAGTTTTAATAATTAAATATTACATATTCAGAAACTACATAAAAAGTTCTATAAAGTTGCAAAATCCAAAATAGAATATAACAAAAAATCGATATGCTAAATAAGTAGATAAAGTGAAACTGCGTTGACCAAGAAAAGTTGACTGTAAATCATTTTGTGGTGGATGGAGTATCAAGTATCACCGGTAAACCATAATAATACATACTTCCTCCGTTCTTTAGTAGTTGCATCATTGTTTTTTTGCACTATTTACACACCTTAATTTAAACACAATTTTCTACTAATATATATAGTCAAATTATTATGTATAAAATGTTATTAGATTTCTATTAATGTGTATTTCCAAAATACTAACTTTTTATAATGTTTACTAATATGTAATTAAATATAATAACAATCAAACTGTTGCAACAATTAAAGAACGGCGGATAGTATTATAGAAATAACTATTTCATAGCCCAACTATTGAAATATATAACAAAAATGATACAAATACTTTCTGACCTCAAAGTTGGTCATGGAATCATCAAAAGCTTATTCTAAAACATCAATAACAACAACATCCAAGCCTTAATCCCAAAAGAATTGGGGTTCGGCTAACATGAAGTGATCCATGATATTAATGTCAAAAAAGAGAAGAAAAAAACAAAAAAAAAAGATAAAGTAGATGAATAAATACTACCTCTGTCCCGAAAAGGTTTGTCATATTGACTTTTCTTAGTCAACGATGACAAGCTTTGGACAATTATTTTAATTATTATATTTGTATATAATCTATAAATATTATACTTTTATGAAAATATTTTTAATAAGGAACAATTTAATATAATTTTCATATTTAAAATAGTTTTGTCTTAAAAAATATCATTGGTCAAAGTTGGCTACCATTGACCAAGAAAAGTCAATTTGGTGAACCTTTTTGAGACGGAGGAGTATAAGATAACAATAACATAAGAATATAAGAAAGGTAAAAGATAAAAGAGCATAAAAAAGCTAGAAGATAAAAATAATATTAAAACATAAAAAGATAAAGAAGATAAACGATAAAAGAAAAAGAGAGGAATAGTATAAAAGAGATCAATCGTCCACAAGAATGTGCGCCATCCACTTTGCACTCTCTAAGACCATACTTTCATCCAACCCAAGAAGACGCATATCAGTTCTGATTCATGTAATCCAAGTCTGTTTGGATCTTCCCCTCCCTCTCCTTTCTGTCTCTTTCTCCCCACTCCTAAAGTCGTCTAATAGGTGCATCACTCGGTCTTCTACCCACATGCCCAAGCCACTGCAACCGAGACTCCTGCATCTTATCTTCTATAGGTGCTAATCTCATCTTTTGTCTGATTATCTCATTTCTCAAGCGATCTTTTCTGTTGTGTCCACACATCCACTCCTAAAGTCGTCTAATAGGTGCATCACTCTGTCTTCTACCCGCATGCCCAAACCCCTGCAACCGAGACTCTTGCATCTTATCTTCTATAGGTGTTAATCCCACCTTTTGTCTGATTATCTCATTTCTCAAGCAGTCTTTTCTGGTGTGTCCACACATCCAACGCAACATACGCATCTCTGCCACACATCTTTTGAATGTGACATTGTTTCACCGCACAACACTTTATATCATACCTTAATCCAGACTTAATTGTTGTACGATAAAATTTACCTTTCTGTCTAGTCGGCATATCTCGATCGCATAGAAATCCTGATGCACTCTTCCATTTTATCCACCCAACTCTGATTCTATGTGATACATCTCCATCTAATTCACCATTTATCTGGATTGTGAAGCCCAAATAACGAAACATATCACACACCGGTACCGGTATTGCTACTACATCTACCTCCACCAAATTTGCACTCCATATACTCAGTCTTGCTTCACCTCAGTCTGAAACCTTTGGTCTCCAATGTTTGTCGCCATACTTCCAACTTTATTTTAACACCTGATTGCGTCTCATCAATCAATACAATATCGTCGGCAAACATCATGCACCATGATATATTTTCTTGATTTGACTTCGTAAGTTCGTCCATGACTATAGCAAATAAGAAAGGACTCAGAGCTAATCCTTGGTGCACTCCGATAGTAATAGGGAACTCTACGGTTCTCCCTACACTAGCACGAACACTTGTAGTACAAGCCTCATTCATATCCATGATGATACAGATATATTTGCATGATATCATTTTCTTGTTAAGACCCACCAAAGGACTTCTCGAAGTACCCTATCATATGCCTTTTCTAAGTCAATATGATTACCAAATGCATATCCTTTTTGGTGTCTCTATACTTCTCCACAACTTATCTAAGTAGGTGAATGACCTCAGTTGTTGAGCGTCCAGGCATAAAACCAAATTGATTCTCCGAAATTTTCACACTTTTTTGAAGTCTTTGCTCAACCACTCGCTCCCAAAGTTTCATGGTGTGACTCATAAGCTTAATCTCTAGTTGGCACATTCTTGTACATCACCCTTATTTTTAAATAGGGGAATGAGAGTACTCTTCCGCCAACTCACTGACATTTTGTTGTTTCTCCAAATCATGTTGAGGAAACACGTTAGTATGCCATCACAAAGTCTTGATTTACCATACATTGAGCGTACTTTGTTGTTTGGACCCTTCTCACGAAGTCTTTATTTACCATACACTGGTATAGTAAGATCATCAATATCTTGCACTTTATTCCCGTTGAACAAGGTATCAAAATATGACATCCACCTCTCTTTTATTTCCTCGTCCTCCCTTAGTACCCTTTGCTCGGCATTTTTAACACACTTAACTTTTCCGATATTTTGAGTCCTATAGTCACCGAACAAGTCTCTAAATATCTTTCTCTCCTTCCATAGAGTCCAATTTACATACAATTCGTTGTTCACTTTTCCTCTTGCTTCCTTTACAACTTTCTTTGCTCTTCTTCTAGCCTTCTTGTACTCCTTTATGTGCTCGTTGCTACAACTTTTGCCCAATTTCTTATGACATTCTCTTTTGGTCCTTATTGCTTGTTTCAACTCGTCTTTCCACCAAGATGTGTTCTTTTTTGGTGGCAGACATCCTTTAGATTCTCCGAGTATATCTCCTTTGCCATTTTGTTAATGGTGGACACCATTGATAACCACCCATCATCAACATGTGCGTCATGATCAATAGACCATAGGTCTCTTCCTCTAATACATCATTATTCTAAACCATCAAATAAAGTTTTTATGTTAAATGTATATCATATTCTTATAGTTGCAATGGTCAGATTCGACGCCAAAAAGATGCTTCATTTTTTTATTTGAATATTTGGGGTATGAATTAGTTATTTGACTTATTTCTATAGTTTTTATTGTTATTGGTTTAGTTGATTTTATTTAAAGTTATTTTCCCATGAAAGTATGATAGAGGAAATGAGTAATTAGAGCCCGTTTGGTGACCCCTTTTTCGGCTTATCAAGCTTATCAGCCAACTTTTTCATCAAACACGTAATTTTTGGTTTCGCACGCTGAATTATGTAATAAGCAGAAAAAGTATGGTTGAAGTTACTTTTCTGGCTGTATTAGCTGAAGTTACTATAGAGGATCATTTTAGCTATTTTTTCATATAATTTTTTATCTTATTTATTAATAACAAATATTTTAAATGTAATTTTTGTATGAATCAACAGAATCAAGCAATACAGCCAATTTTAGTGTTACCAAACGGGCTCTTAATATCTTACTATTCATAGAGGTAAAAAAGTCTTTTACTACCCAAATATCACCACAAAAGGAAGCGTAAACTTAATTTTGGGACATCCTAAAAAGAAAAGCGAAAACTTAATTTAGGGACCGAGAGTATATATTATGGAAAATTGACAAAATGAAAACACATTTGGAAAGGCGTATAAATTGTTATAAGTTCTGACGTCAGAGCACACAGGCATGGAAGTATAGAAATCTTCTTTGTCCTACACTCCTACATTAATATGTCACATTTGACGTTTATGGTTAAAGATGTTGGATTTTGACCAATGTTTTCATTTGATATATTCTTGTATGAATTATACTATGTATATTGTTTTCAGTTCTCTTAACAACGTTCACTTTCATGTTGTTTTCACAATTTAAACCATTTTGAGTAGAGATAAATAATCAGTGAACTCAACATTGCTATCATTGGGCTTCGATCAGAAAATTCAAACATGGTATTGAAGAGGGAAGGAGGTTGTACAGTTTAGGGGGTATGGGTATTGGTGGTACAGGAGAACGAAAATGAAATGCTTTGATTCCATTACGAATACCTATGAATCATGGAAACCCTCGGAAATGAGTACGTATCCGTTTCGGAAACTCTACAAAAACTCTTCGGAAATTCTCCAAATAATTGTTTTCCACCAAAAGATAACATTTCTTGTTTCCTGTTTTCCCACATTTCCGTGCAACATAGACAAATGCTATTATTGTCGTGGTGGTTTTTATTGTTATCATCGTGGTTGTGGATGTGGTGGTTATTATTGTTACCATTGTTGTCAGCACAACCGCCGTGGCGGTGGTTGGTAACAGTCTCACTTTGTTGTTCTATAGATTGAATAGAGAAGTAACAGTTTCACTTTCTCGCAGTTCAAGGGTGAAGATGAGAATGTAGACGTAGATGGGGGTGACGAAGAGACAGCTGAGGTGGATATAATTTAAAAAAACGTCTCACAGTTCAAGGGTGAAGATGCAAAGGTAGACGTAGATGGGGTGACAAAGAGACAGCTGGGGTGGATATAATTTAACAACATTTACCGTCTTAGCTCTGATGCTTCTAGCTTTATTGTGGTATCTTATTTACTTTATTAGTTGGACTAGAAAAAGTGAGACTCACAAAACGGTAAACAGAAAGAGTCTTGTATAGCATGCATGTTAATCCTGCATCTCATGCTTGCTAGGCATGACTCGTGACATTTGGACTTCCCATTTGATTCCTGGGTTCGCTGGCTGCTTAACCAAGAATATTGAAATATGAAGATCATTGTTTGATTTTTATATGTAGCCATTGGCTAGGGGTTTACTGGTCCATGGTATGTGCCTTTGTGATGGTGGGGGGATCGTAATGGGGGGGGTCAAATTATACCGTGGTACCGGCATACCACGCTTATGGTATACCGGTACAAATATGGTACTGTTTCTAAGTTCTTGGGAGAGAGCTACTAGGGATGGACCGGTTCCGTTCTGCTCGGCCCGGGCCTAGGACCTGACCCGGGGGTATTTTGGGGGCGGGCTCGGGCTGCAGGTTTCTTTGAAACCGGCCGTCCTGTCCGGGCCATTTTTTTCAGTCTTTGAGTGGTAGGTGGGTTGGGCTAGGTGTTTTGAAGGGGTGGGGTGGGGGTGGGAATTAATTAGAAAAGCAAAAAAAAAAAACCGCTACCTGACCTTGTCCTGGGCCATTTCTGAGCCTCAACCCCAATACAAAAGCCTGATTTTGACCGGCCCGGTGCCTGGCCTGGCCCAGAACCAGTCCATTCCTAAGAGCTATGCATGTTCTCTTTCTTTTGCCTCAAGCACTATAGGTTTTGTTTCTTCAGTTTTCTTTCTCTTTAGTTATCGCTCAACTCCTCAAGCACTAGTTATCCCTTCATCCTATTGGGAAGGGATGAACCTGAACCAGCCCGGGTAGCCGGTGGTTCCGGTCTGGTCCAGTCTGATTCAATGTTTTTTTGCTTTTCTAATTAACCCCGACCCCCCTCACCCCCACACCCCAACCCCAACCCAAAAAACACCCAGCCCTACCCATGGAAAACAAAAAAAATGAAACCCCCAAAAAAAGGCCCGGCTTGTTCACTAAATTAAGGGCCCGTACCCGCCCCGCCCCAATCCCCCTACCGAGACTAGGCCCAGAATCGTTTAATTGTGATTTTATTTTTAACTAATTAAATTGCAACTAAAATAACTATTTCATTACCAATTTAATTAAAAAATTATCAAACCACATAAAATAAGTATATTGCATCAGTAATCATACAATATTTTTTTATTTTTTTTCTTCAGCAGAAATTACTATAATTTTTTTCTTCTAATATTTTTTTTTACATTTATACACTTTTTTTGTAAAATATTTTTCATATTCATACACTTTTTTCTATAATATATTTCTTACCTCTTTGCGAAAAAATGTAATTCTTATCTCTTCTATATGGTTTGTGTCTTAAAACATTAAATTTATTTATTTCGATTTAGATTTCTTAAAACATGATAGTTTTTACATTTTTCATATGCTTATAGACAATTTTTGGAATTACATTTGATAGTATATGGAGTTACATCTTCTTATTCTCGAGTTACATCTTCTTGCACGTGAGTTGCATCTTAGAATGCGTGAGTAGGGGTGGACTCGGTCCTGGTTTCGGTCTCGGACCAGCCGGTCCCGGTTTCGGTCCTGGTCCTGGGCTCAAATATTGGAGACCAGAATCGATTCGGGTTTCTTCAGACTCGGTTCTGGTCCGGTCTACCCGGCCGGTTCCGATCCGGTCCCAGTTCGGTCTAGTCCTTATTTTTTTTTTTAAATTATTGGAGAATAAATAAATGATGTATATTTATTTTAAACATTACATTGTCACTTGTATGAATATCACATTTGAAAATTACAATAAAGAATACTTTAAAGTTGAAAATTACAATACATGAACTAATCGTCGGAGCCGCTTCCGGCATCGGTTTTCGTTTCCTCCATGAAATGGCGGTCCGGTGCTATGTTGACTTGTGTTCTACGGTGGGCCTTCAACCAATCGTGAAAGCAAACGAGTGTCTCGAGAGATGAAGCGTTCAACCTCATTCTATAGTCAGTTAAAACGTTACCGGCTTCGCTAAACTCTTGTTCCATGGCAACAGTTGAAACCGGCATCGACAACACTTGTTTGGCCATTTTTTATAAAATCGGAAACATCCCTTTGTGGGTCTTCCACCATTGGAGAATATCAAAGTCCCCCTCTTCATTAAACTCAACAGGAAACGTTAGATATAAAGAGAGCTCATTAATCGAGCTTTGTATAATAGCAGGAGTTGATTTACTTTTTTCTAAAGAGTAGATATTGTTGACATAAAAAACCCTCTTCCTTTAGATGAGGAAGCACTCGGTGTTGGAGGAGGGGTGCATTATCATATTGTGCATGAAACTCATTAAATAAAGCGTGAAATAGATCACTAACCTCGTTGAATTGGACTTGCGGATCTATAGGTGTGTCTTCGTACATAGGGAATGGACCGTAGACATAGAATAAATAGGCGGAATGTAGGGATAATATTTTAAAAACTTTTCTTTCGTGTAATCACAAAAATAATGTACATAATTAGCTTGAGAAAATTCTTGAAAAGCACCGGCGAGATTAACAGCTTCTATAAAAAATTAGTTGCTAGTTGGTTTATACACATGGGAAAAAGTTTGAGTAGCATTGTTAAAATAAACTAAAATGTTGCAAATCTTTTCCATTGTGTCGATATGAACCGTTTCTATAATATAATTACAAGTTCCTTTCATGAAAGTAGGAAAATGATCTCTAAATCTAAAAAGCACAACAATTAAATTATAAGTACTATTCCAACGAATAGAAACATTTTGAGGAAAAGCACAATACCTTACACCTTTGGACTTCAAATAAGCACGCCATTGCATTTTCAGTGGATTACTACCCCAAATCAATCTAATAGCCCCCTTAACTTTCTCCATCACATTTTCTAATGCGGCTTAACCGTCTTTTACACATAAATTAATAATATGACATGCACGACGTTGATGAAAAAATCTACCCATCAAAGTAGACGGGCCACATAATTCACGTAATCTAGGTATAGCACCAATATTGTTAGTAGCATTATCAAAACCAATAGCAAACACCTCATCAATCAAATAATATTCAATTAAAATACGTTTCATAAGAATATAGATATTATCACTGGGGTGTCTTTCATTAAAATCCCGAAAAGCGATGACACGTTTATGCATTTGCTAATCATCATCAATCCAATGTCCAGTGACACCCAAATAATACAAGTGATGATAAGTATCTTCCCATATATCACTACAATCAGTCACACGTCTATTAAAGTTTGAAAAAAATTGAATTAATTTTTTCTTTTCCAAAAGATATTGTTTAATACTCCCTCCGTCCCATTTAAACGTTCCCACGCGGTTTACGATGTTTGACTGATCATATAGTTAACTGATCCCTGTCATTAGTAGAATTATTTTTAGTGAATAAAATTTATATATTCAGAAACTACATTTGATGGATAGTCTACCCGGGGGTATATATCCGAAGGGTTATTACGGGGAATAACTTAGAGAGAAGTCAGAGCAAACAAGTAAGAGAGAGAATGTATATTCGATATGTATTAAGCATGGTTACAAATGGGGAAATGGGGTGCTATTTATAGTAGCAATAAATGCCGGGCAGGGACACGTGTCAAGCGCTTATTGGCCGAGGGGTCACCTCAACTGGTTGGCGCTGGCAGCCGCATGTGGCCGCATTTAATGCGGCTGTTGGATGGGACGGTTGTGCGGGGTACGGTGATCTGTACGCATGTGAGGCGGATATCTTGTCGAGTGAGATGCCTTCGGCCATAGAGCAGTAGCCGAGGGCTCTTCCACCCGATGGCACCCTGGTGCCGAGGGCTCACAATGCCGAGGGCTGATGTTTTCGCCGTTTTCTCCCAGTTTCTTAGTTTGCTTGAGAAACCCGTTCTGTGAGAATTTAGAGCCTTCGGCCGGGGGGCCGAAGGCACCCCTGACGCGTAGTGCGAGCTGCTTGGTACTCTGGGCGCTGTGATTTGGGCCTGTTGGGCCTTTCCTGGAGTAGTAGGAGTCTGTGGGCCGGGGGTTCCCGGGCCATATACTCCATCAACATTAAAACCGCTACAAAGCCTGATCAAGAAAATTTAAATTTGATAAAAGTTGGATATATAAAGTAAAAGATTAAGAACAGTACACGTTGACCGGAGAATAGTGGATGAGAACCTTTAAATGGGACAAAGGGAGTAACTTGTCTTTTTATTTGTTTTGTGGTTATAGTTTCGAAATTGCGGATTTAAAAGAAACCTTGAGCATAAGCACGTAAAGCAAGACTTTAAGAAAAAATAAAAGACAAATTTCCTTCACAAATTAACTCAGACATTGTTTTTAAATGTACCTAATAATTGTAATTAGTAGTAATAATAATAATAATTATTATTATTATTAATATCGCTTAATGAAGGTAAAGTTATAAAGTATCAAGTATGGACGTAACTAGAGCGTGACAGAGTTGGTTGTCCAGCGTTTTTACTTACTGAAGCGTTTAGGGATTGATTACGTCTATACATGTATTTTTATTTTAGAGAAGCCTTCTACCCAAAAATATTTCTTTGCTTACTACTTGTCCCACACCAGACAGAGAGAAGCCTTCTACCCAAAACTATTTCTATATAACGCAGGTTTACCTGCTAATCTCTTCTATGGGCTTCATGGATTCAGTAATTTGTTAAAACTGGGGAGTTGAGAAATTGTTTTAGAAAATCTGGCGGATTTCTCAGAGTATCGTGTGATCACTTTCCGAATCTAATATTTCGATCCTATGCCTGGGTTACACGAAATTTAGATTATGGGGATAATCACTCTGAGAGACAGTCTAAAACTGAGGCACCAATATATAGACCACGAACTAGCAGTTTTAGTAGAACTCGAATTCTTCTGATTACCAAAGAGATAAGGCCAATCAGTTAGAGTTTTACTCTAACAGAAAGTCATTCTATTAAACAATTAATATGGACATGTTTATCCGAAAATAAATTTCCATATTTATTTCTTTAATAAAATAAAATTTTGGTCCGTGGCGCTGCCCCGAGCCCCGCGAGGGCGGCCTCCCTCGACCCCGCTCGCTGACCGGGCAGCGAGACCCCCGCCAGGGGCGCTGCCCCTTGGACCCCGCCAGGGGCGCTGCCCCTTGGACCCCGCAAGGGGGCGCAGCTCCCTTGACCCCCGCCATTTAATCGAACCAAGTTTAAATT